TGTGTGGATTAGCAGAAAAAGCTGAAACAGAACCTGGAGCTACCAAGGAACAGAGGAATCTGGGGAGAGATGCTAATCAAGCCATTAGGAATGCAGGATTTACCAACACCCAATTGAGAAAAGGCTGTTAACGTTGCCGTTTTATCTGCATGATATTTATAATTGCTGTAAATATGTGTAATCTTGAATGCCCACATGCCACTCCAGTTTGCTGGCAAAATTAGTCTCAGCAAAAAATTGTACTGAACTTTAGCCCCTGAAAGTCCTCACCAGCATAATTACTATGTCAACCCCTCTCCCTCCTCACGTCTTCAGTTGGTTTTAGGAATTCTCAAGCACATTAATGGTCTTACTTTTGGACTCATCATTTAAGTTGCCACTCACGGATTTTGTGAGGTAGTCACCTCGCCTCTACCACTGCTGCTATTCTAGAAAATGAACTCTGTTTCCTTATCACTCCAGCAGGCACAGCCAGCACCTCCACCTCTGAAAATTTCCAGGGCCCTCTGGTTGCAACTACTGCATTCTGCACAGAAAGAGAAAGAATGCCCTTCTCCCAAACTCTGTGTGATGTTGTCATCTGGGTCTTAATGCAGTACTGTGGGTGCTGTGAGTCACCAAGTTCTCTTGCTAAACAGTCCCTGTTTCTCAGGAGTCAAACAGAAATGGCCCTGCCCCTGTATCCCCAGTCATCATCTCTTTCTGCTCAACACTCAGATCTCCTTCAGCCCTCACCCTTATCCCAAAATGCCCCCTTTTAGCTGAAGTAAATCAAGCCAGAAAAAGCTATCAAGCACAGCAATGAAAATCCATGACAAGGAATGATGGGCACTGGCCTGGCATATCTGGTGGCTTACTCAATTGTTGTTATATTGCAGTGCTATAAAGAAATTGCCCTCAAAAAGATGACACCTATTGGGTATCAGTCCTAGGAAGTCAAAGTCCACATCTGTCACAAAGCATAAGGCAATCATTTGCTTCTGGAAGTTTCTCTGGGCTCTTACCACAGGACAAAAGCTTTCAGAGGGGAATAGGAGGTATTGCCTTTTACTCACTGCCAAGGTGGAGGGTGGGCTAAGGATGGACAGTTGCTGATTCAGAAGAGCCTGGAAAGCATCCAATGGGAGGGCTCCAGGAAGCCGGCTCCTTTCGTTTGTCCATATCCGATAAAATCTTAAGTTTCCCATGTGAACTAAGCAGACCAGGGAAGAGCAGGAGTTCTGGAGACCAAGAGTCCTGTAGGCAAATGTTGGCCTGCCATTCATTAACTGGGTGATATTGGCTAATTTGCTTAATAAGCCTATTCAAGCTTTGGTTTCTTCATCTACACAATGGAGGGAAAATAATAACTGCAGTTGTCATTGAAGACTCAGTGAAATCATGCCAATCAAGGGTTTGTCTCAGAGACAGGAAGTGGTCAAGAGCTGTTGGCTACCATTACCAATACAGTAGACACAGGCAAGTCTGCAGCTGCCTAACATACATATTAAGTCTCCTTTAGAGAATTCATTCCCTAACAGTTGCCTTTAAATGGAAGTTAGATCAGACTCTAAATATTGTCACCTACAAAGAGGGAAGGATAGATGCTGCAGGCATGGCAGCACGTTGCTGGGGGTTTTGACAGAAAAAAAGCCTTTAGGAGCTTGACCTGGACTACAGCTGGATCAACTGATAGGGAAGAAATTAAAGAGGGACACAGAAATGCACTGTGGCTGTCTTCCAAATGATGTTTCATAAAGTTTGACTTCACACGAAATCAAGGGGAAAAAATCTGGTTCTATTTGGAAGGCATAGGCAGGTCTGACTTTAAGTCAAGAAATGCAATAGAATCACATTCTCGCGAGGGAAGCTATTGAGCATGGCGCTCACCATGGAGCATACAGTGGCAGGTGGCTCTATGGCAGTGTGCCTGGAGGGAAAAACCAATCCACTGACACTACAGGAACTCTCTGAGATACAACTTATGGGCCTGATGGGGCCCACTTCATCCCTTGAAGATAATTACAGAGACATGAGCAGGGATGCAGAACACACACAGACACAGATTCTACAGTCTCATTGAGTGTCCTGAAGGAGCAGCCCTGTGAAATACGTCTTGTACTCCTAAAGGCACTGCATGCATTATGCAGGTGCTCCCAGCTGCCCAGGAACACCAAAGTCTGCTTGGTTACTCATCAGCTCAACTGAACTTTATGCACTGACACACTAGCACCTGCAGAAACTGGATTCCTTGTGTGGGTGAAAAGTGGGTCACAGAGAGAAGCTGCACAAAGCCTTTTCTGAGAGTTACAAGGCAAACCGAATAGAGCTGAATTAAAATCATGTGTGACTGTCTCCATTCCACAGATTATCATCTACATCTATAACCAGAGATCCAATGATGAAAAATAATATAGCCAGATAAAATTATGGGGAATATTTTGAAAACCATGAATGTGAATTTTTCATTTGACTTTCTACGTTCATGATCTCTACCCAACTTGGCCCAAGGCAACCATCTGCATGGAAAACTGGGATTTGTTCCAGAAAGAATGAGCAGGCAAAGACTGAGATTATACTTAGCTTCTGACACTGAAAACAGGAACTTTTAGCAACATGGCTTCTTACTAATACTCTAAGTTTCTTTATTGTCTCTGCTGAAGGATTCTACGCATTTTCTTACTCCACTGTGTGTGTGTGTGTGTGTGTGTGTGTGTGTGTGTGTGTGTGTGTGTGTCTTTCTAGATAAGTTCTGGCTAGGGGAGCAAGTCAATATGACATGCAGTGTTGGGATCAACTAAAAGCATTATATACTAGAGGGATATGGGGATACAGGGGATAAAAACCAGAGAGAAGAAAGGGAGGAGGGAAGGCCATGACATGAGTGACCCGATTTGTTCCTCTCTAAGCTTTGTCCAAAGGGGGTGTGCATATTAGGTAATTGACATTTGGGGATTCAGGTCAGTTGGGGGCTTCTGGAATTACAGAAGAATACCGAATTTTAGTTGTTCTGTAACCACCTTATTCATATCCTTATTCTAATCAACCTGGTTGATTGGCAAAGTCAGGCCTGTGTTTTAGCTTTACTGGGTCATCTAGGCTTTCAAGTAATGTAGACAGGACCCAAGGACACCTGAGAATCTGGCTGGGGCCATGTTTGAGAGCTGTGTTGTCACTGCAGGGAGGCAGCTCTGCATCCAGGACACGATCCAGACAAACAGCAACTGGGGGTTGCCCTCAGGACTTGGAGGGCTTCATCCCAACCAAAGGAGAGGAGTTGCAAACAAAGTAACCTGTGATGCATCGCAGGCACTGACCAAAGCAAGGGAGGAGATGTGGCAGCTGGAATGCAGCTATGGAACCACAAGGGACAAGGGACAACACTCCAGAAGCCAAGGAACCCCAGGAAAGCACGTGTGAGGACGCTGGTTTTGCTTTTGTCGTGAGATCTTGTAAGTCTCACTATTCCTGACACCAAGTTGACTTCTTGAAATGAGTCCAGTCGCTAAGCAGAAGACGGACAAATAAGCAATCAGATAAACAATGTCTGTTTTTTTCCTAAAAGACTGAGGCGAACATCTTTTCTAAATTGCAAATCAAATTACATTTTAACTCAAGTATGAATGTCAGTTGTGTATTGTTTCAGCTTGTTTGTTTGCTCCCAGGTAAACAGTAGCAGGAAACCAGATTCATTATAGCAAACATAACAGGGCTACATACACTCTGTTCATTTCAGCTAAAGTCAAAGTGGAATTTGCCATCCGCCTTTGTAATTATGTCATATGAGAGCTAGGAAAGGATAGATGGTCAAATAGAAGTACTGGGTATTTGCGCCTTGCCAAAATGAACTCCCTGAATGAAGAGATTTATTACAATAATAAGAATTGACAGTCAGGAAAGGTGGTTCATGCCTGTAATCCCAGCACTTTGGGAGACCGAGGTGGGTGGATCGATTGTGCTTAGGAGTTTGAGACCAGCCTGGGCAAAATGGTGAAACCCAATCTCTACTAAAAAGACAAAAGTCAGCTGGGCATGGTGGCATGCACCTGTAATCCCAGCCACTCAGGAGGTTGACACAGGAGAATCACTTGAACCTGGGAGGTAGAGGCTGCAGTGAGCTGAGATCATGCATATGCACTGCAGCCTGGGTGACAGAGTGAGATTCTGTCTAAAGAAAAGAAAGAAAGACAGAAAGAGAGAGAAAGAGAGAGGGAGGGAGGGAAAGAAAAGAAAGAAAGAAAGAAAGAAAGAAAGAAAGAAAGAAAGAAAGAAAGAAAGAAAGAAGAAAGAAAGAAAGAAAAAAGAAAGAAAGAAAGAAACAAGAAATGGCAAGGTTAGATGTTGAATCTGCTCCTGTATATTTACATATAGATATGTATATTTTAAACTATACATCAAAATGGAGTGAATGTCACTAATTAACTGATGCTAAGAAGCAAGACCAATAAATAGCTTTTTTTTTCTTTTTTACAGCATACATTCAAATCCAAATCCATGACTAAGTAATGAATACGTCTAGTACTTGACTCACTGGTTCCATTCCGGAAGTGACATTTGATAGTGTTTCTCAGTCATTGGTTATGTATAGGCTCCTGCATCAGATAACCTGTTGCTACACAACTACTCCAAAACAGGATGCTTAAAAAAGCAAACATTTATCTCACAGTCTCTGAGGGTCAGGAAACCAGGAGTGGCTTAGCTGGGAGATTCTGGCTCAGAGCCTCTCATGACATTGCAGTGAAGCTGTGGCCAGCAGGCTGCAGTCGTCAGAAGGCTGGGGCTGGCAGATCCACTTCCAGGATAGCTCACTCGCATGGCTGTGACAGGAGCCCTCAGCTCCTCATCACATGAGCTTCTTCACAGAACACCAAAGGGTTTTCACGACATGGCATCTGGCTTTTCCAGATTGAGTGACAGAGAGAAGGAGACAGAGTGAGTCACACTGTATTTTATGACTTCATTTCAAATGACCACTTCTTTAGTATTGCATTGGCCACACAGACCGACATTTATACCTTGTGGGAACAAAGCACCCAGGGCGCAAATACCAGAAGGTGGAAATTATTAGGAAGCATCTTAACAGCTATCTTCCACAATTTCTTTTGAAGGAAAAATAAAGTCAACAGACCTTTAGTGTTGGTATACCTTATTTGTACTATTTTATTTTGCCAAAAAAAAAAAAAACCACACACACAAAACTAAATATAAACCCTTTTGATATAAATAAGTTGCACAAAAAACATACGATAGCTTTCTCTTTGTTGGCTAGTTCAGAAGCATCAGGCCTCGTAAAATCCAAAACTTTGTCAATTCTTGGATGCAAATTTTAATATGATTTCCCTTGATAACTCTGCAACTGTCTTGTTTGTTCACATGAAGATAAGTTTCACGCTGCAGGGTTATTGAAACCTGAACTCAGTAGGTATCTAATCCGCTTACTGCTAGAATCAACAGAAAATTCTGCACTGCATTTTTACTGCTGCACTTTTTGCTGATGAATGGTTGCAAGTTTGTCTGTGCAAAAAATGGAATCTGCATAATACATCTGTTCCCAGCAAAAATATGGTACTGGCTGCCACAGCACAAATTCTTTGGATTTCAGCATGCCTATATTCTGTAGGCCCCAAAATGATTCCTTTCTCCTGCCCCCTTTCCAATTTGAATCTCCGTGTCATTTTCCTTTTCAAATGCTATGGTATCATTTGCCTTTACCATACTTGGCACAAGAGATCATAAACGAAAATTCAAAGCAGTTACTTAAATCATGCAACAAAGCTCAATTATAAGGACAATCTCTAAGTGACATAAAACATGCTTATATTATTGTCACAGAAATTGAAAAGTGATCACAACTTCTGATGTACTGAGATAAATGTTATTCCAACATGTAACCCTGTCCTGAGGCCACAGTTTAAGCCAACACCCTCAATCAGATGAAAAAGGAAAAAAGGATCCATATTCATCTATAGGCACATCAGCATGTTACCCAAAGAGAGAAGGGGGTAAGGAGGTCACTGGAGGGCATAGCTTTTGCCTACACCGCTAACACCTGTCTCCATGTGTGCTGCAAGTGTGGGCATCATGCCTAGATCTGAGCCTTCCTCTTCTGATTCTCTCTCATATTTTTCCTGTCTTCTAGATTGTGAGACTCCCATTTCTAGCCAGATATCACCACTTCAAAGGTGTAATAAAAAGGCCAGAACTGCAGTGGGCATTAGGGAGCAGTTGCTGCCATGGAGTTGGCATGGTATTAGAAAACAGCATCCACATGTTGGAAGGGATTTCTGAACCCCTTTGCACTTCACGTTCCTCTACCTTCCAGAAGATACTCTCTGGGCCTGAGTGCTTCTTAACAAAAAATTATCTGGCTTTGACACTGAGCATGGCTTTCAAAGATGATGGGGAGCCTCTGACCCTAGAAATCTAGACTGTCATCCAGCAGCTGTTATGTTTCTAAGGGTGTATCAAAAGTTTTTGCCCATATGAACAGATAAAAGAATCCTCACGAAGTAGCTTCTTCCCCCATAGTGCAGAAGGCCCCTTGGTACCAGCTCACAGAAATCCTACAGGAGGAGGTTGTAGTTCCGCCTTCTCTGGCTCTGTCCATTGGGCTTACTGAAGCTGGCTCCAATGTCTGTACTGGAGAGTCACCACGTGTGGGGTCTTCCTGCTTATCCTTCCTCTTGCCTGCTGCTAGGAGATGAGAGTCCACGTCCTCATTGAAAGAGACAGGCAAGTTAAATCTCTCACACAGTCGAGCATGCACCCACTTTAGGCCTCTGTCAAAGAGTAGCTGCAGCTGCCTTTTCTCCATGGAGAAAGCCACCTGCCTGCCCTGCTCTCTTACTTATCAGGACGTTGCCTGGGGGTGCTTTTCCCCAGGACTGGAGAGAAAGCACTGGGAAGCTGGGAAGTGAGGTGTGCATGTGTGCCTGTGCTGATGCCTACTTCACTCCAGAGCCTTTGCTTTTTAAAAACATACTTTAAAAACCCTAAAGATAAAAATCTTAAAAGGGTGTGCTGGTGGTGGGGAATGATTGAAGACAGAGAAAAGGCTTTGTTAAGAAACCCGTTGGGATAAGATTCTCTGATATACTCAGGGTCCAGCTCATGGAGGGGAAGTTCTCAGGAATCCATTTGACTGAGGGTCACGTTCATTCTTTGTTGCTGAACTGCCGCAGGGAATCCAAAATACAGCACAAGGAGGATGAGAAAACCCTCCCAGCAGCTGAGCCAGATCTGCCAGCAGTAGGCTTGGGTCCCCTGGGCAAAAATTCCATGCAGTTTATCGGCAGTCAGACTCACCTTCTATTGCTAATGCAAATATACCCTAAAGATGCCACGAAGGGCATCATTAAAAGTGAGCTGTCAGCTCTCACTTTAGCTGCTGTCATCCAGGCTGGGAGGAGCCGACAGTATCGAGAATCGCATTAGATCTGCAGCCAGGAAGAAGTTTACAGCATGACATCATGAGGTTGTCAAGGTAACTGGCCAGGCTACCTCTCTGGACTCCTGTGGTCCATAATGACAGGATCTTTAAATGAAAACTGAGCCACAGGAAGGCACATGCAGAGAAGTGCCATGCAGCCTGAGGTACGACTGCTGGCAGCCTCTACACTCAGGCAAGTGGTGCCCACGCTGGGATTGTGTTGCTGGACTGGATCACACAGTGATCAACAGCAGTGCAACAACCCTCGCTGACCACTGTGAGATGGGAACGACTCTCTCTGGTGTTATCAACTGCCATGAGTTCCAGAAGAATGCTCCCTTCCCTGCCCTCACCCTGACTCTGAAAGAGGCTGCGAAACTCAGAATCCCTTTTACTCTCTGAGAGCACCAGGCGGCAGCGTGCTTGTCCATCCTACAATGGACCCTATTAATTTCCTAGGGCTATGTCACAAAGCACCACAAACTGGGCCAGGCATGGTGGCTCATGCCTGTAATCCCAGCACTTTGGGAGACTGACACAAGCCATCCCTTGAGGTTGGGGTTTGAGACCTGCCTGGCCAACATGACGAAACCCATTTCTACTAAAAAATTCAAAAATTTGGCCGGGCATGGCGTTACGTGTCTGTAGTCCCAGCTACTCACGAGATTGAGGCAGGAGAATCACTAGAACTCCGGAGTCAGAGGTTGTAAGACTCCAGCTCAAAATGAACAAACAAACAAACCCCAAAGCACCACAAACCGAGTGGCTTTAAACTACAGAAATTTAGTGTTTCACTGTTCTGGAGGCTAGAAGTCCAAGATTAAGGTATTGGCTAGGCCATGCTCCCTCCAAAACCTCTAGGGGAGGATTCTCCAAGCACCAACGATTTCTCGGTTTGCAGCAGTCTCCAGCCTCCACCTTCATGTACCTGTGGCTCCACATGGCATTCTCCTCTGTGTGTGTCCCTGTGCGAATTTCCTTCTTCTTATAAGAACACTACTCGTATTAGATCTGGGCCCACCTAATGACTTCATCTTTCCAAAGATTTGATTTCATCTGCAAAGACCCTCTTTCCAAATATGGTCCCACTTACAGGTTCTGGGGGTTAGGACTTCAAGGCATTTCTTAGGGAGGACAAAATTCAACCCGCAATAGGCCCAGTCTTCATTCTGCACAAAGAAAAGTGCACATAGGACTTGTCCAGGCCTGCAGCAAGACAGGCCCTGAGTGAGCTGAAGACAAGAAGAAAAACAAGCTGAAGCCATGCTGTGGGAGCAGAAACGTTGGTGAAATGCAGAGCAACCCTTGGCCTTGGAAATCAAGTCTACTTGGTGACTCCGAGCCTGCCAATAGCTACCATCACTGCTCCTGTCTCCTTTTCTGTGACTAAAAGAAAGTCTTTGGAACAAGGAGCTCATCAGTAAAGCCAACTGGGCGGGGCTGCACTTTCTGCCAAAGGGAGTAGAATGTACCACCCCAACCGGTGCCATAAGAATTATTTTGAGCTAAAGGCAATTGAAAAGAAACAGACACAAGAAAAATTCTCAGCCCTCCCTTTTTCTACCAGAAAGGGCAGGTTGATTCTTAATCACCAGAGACAATGCTGGATCCTTATCTAGACCGTACAGAGGAATCTGCATAACAAACCTTACATAATCAACCCTTGTCTACCAATAGTTTCTCCTCTGTATTTACATTCCCATAATCTGCACCCCCGGAAGCTCAAAGTCCTTTTCCTTAGTGTCACTGCTTCTCCAAAAAAAAAAAAAAAAAATTGTCCTTTTGCAAAGGTGCTATACAAGCTCAAATTCAAACCACCCCTAGAATTGCTCGTCTCGGTGTGCTAATGTGAATGCACGATGCACATGCCCATAAACTTATGTTTGCTTTTCTCTTGTTAAGCTGTCTTTCACCAGTGTTATTTACAGGGTCCTCACTGAAGAACCCAAGACGAGTAGAAGAAGAAGACTTTTTTTTCTCCTCTACACCATAGTCATCAGGAAAATATACAGAAGAAAATCCTGGTTTTCTGTTCAGTATTCCTCTCCAAGAGGTCTAGGCTTGGCAAAGATTTCTGAGTTCTGTGAATCCTTCAGCCGGAGCAGCTCCGGAGGAAATGCTCCTGTGAGATGTGCCTACTTTGCTCTCTCTGAATCGATGCTGTCCCTGTGAGGTTAGCACAGAACTTTCGCATCATCTTAATATCAGGAGCCTGCCAGAATTCTTTGGAAAAATATTCCTCTTGTGAATCAAAGAAACAGGGTGGAGAATTCCACTCCCAGAAGCCTAAAAGACCTGAAGGCTGTGTCTCTCCTCTCATGCCCTTTTTCTCAGGAGTGCAGACAGGAGGCTCCGAAGATTTCTGCCAGAAGCTCATACTGTGCTCTTTGAAACATCACCCTTAGCAATGGGATGAAGACCAGGGACTCTGAAACAGCAATTTTCTTTCTGGAAATAAGGATATGCTTAACTTCAGGTGCAAAGGTATTAATGAACAATGAAATAAGAGAACGTGATTCCCAGAGCCAAAGGAAGTAAGTAGATAAAAGGAGAGATTTGATGTCCATTCCAGAGTTTTTTTCCATGTTTAGGGATTATTTTTTCCACATCCTGAAGCCAACTTGGTCTTAGGAAAATTGTGCCTTTCGTGTAGTCACTTGCTGGGTGCTTTACATAAATATCTCACTTAGTCTTCACAGACCCCTAAGGAGGTAATGCCGCATAGCACCAGATAGCCAAGGCTCTGGAGTCTGATGGTTCCACTGAAGTCCATTCTCCCACATTATACCTCCGTATGTGACTCCAGGCAAGTTCTTGGTGCTGTAACATGGGAGACCCAAATTCCAATTTCATAGCATGGTTGTGAAGATTAAAAGAGAGAACCTGTTGAAGTGCTCAATAAACAATGGCTCCTATTATTGCATACTGTGAGTATGGTATTCTTACTCTCTACAAAGGTTTCTGAGATTCAGAAAGGCTAACTAACATGCTCTGGTCATAAATGTAATGTGCCGGACAGAATTCAACCTGAGATTGTCCCACTGCAAGCTCTGTCTCCCTCAGGGTTGACTATTATGCATGACTGCCTCCTTAACCATCTGGGCCAACGTTGCCTTTGGGGCTTCCTGACCTCCATTTCAGTTCAGGCTCCTGCCTTTGAGTTTCCTCCTGGCAGCCCAGTACTCTCACGGGCAGTCCTCAGCCCAAAGCCAAGGGCTCCCCTTTGGAACCATCCTCCCCAGAGGCCACCTCCGACCAAATCTCTTCTCTCATCAAGATGCTTTCCTCAAGATCCCTTCTGTCAGTGCTGCCCTTGGCTTTCTGACGTGAGCATGACCACGCAGGTTTGAGAAAATATCAACAGCTGAGGGTAGTTTAATTCTTTCCCTTTCAATAATTCAACAACAGCACGAAGGACAGTATTGCAAGCCACCTGGCCAGGCAGTGAGAGCCACTGCTGATGCAACCCAAGCTTATAAAACATGGCCCTGCTTCTCAGAGAATTCACGGTCTAGAAAGGAAGGAAGACATGAAAATAATGAACTCTCATGCTCTAAGGAAAGTGGTTTTGAACTGGGCTGATGTCTATGAATGACGTGCGGTGGGAGCACCAAGGTGGAGACGTATTGGCTGGGTCTGGATGGCTGGGTCAGTTTGCACCAAGAGACATATGGCAAAGCATTACAGATAAGAGCAAAAGATAATAGAATAAACATGAACCTGAGTGACCTGAAGGTATAGGCAGCCAGAAGGCGAAGGATAAAACATGGCTTTAGACCCACAAAGAGGCACGATGAACAGGTCTTTGAATGCCTGCTGAGAAAGCCCTTTGCATTTTCTCCTGTAGGCCAGTGTTCCTGAAACTTTAGCCTAAATGAATCAACTGCCGACTTGATAAAGCACAGTTTTCTGGGCCTCACCCCTAGAGTTTTTGATTCAGTAGTCTAGGGTGGGACCTGAGAATTTACATTTCTAACATTCCCAGGGGACTCTGAGGCCGCTCCTCCTAGGACCACTGTATGAATCTGTTCTCACACTGCTGTGAAGGAATGCCCAAGACTGGGTAATTTATAAAGAATGTAGGTTTAACTGACTCTCAGTTCCTTGTGGCTGGGGAGGCCTCAGGAAACTTGCAATCATGGCAGAAGGCACCTCTTCACAGAACCGTAGGAGAGAGAATGAGTGTCATGCAAAGGGAGAAACCCCTTCTAAAACCATCAGATCTTGTGAGCACTCACTCACTATCACAAGAACAGTATGGGGGAAACCCTCCCCGAGATGATCTCCACCTGGCCCCACCCTTAGTACACGGGGATTATTACAATTGAAGAGTAAGATCCGCCTCAGCCAGATATTAAAGCTTGCAGGAGGAGGATAAACTGAGATTGACATTATAGAAGGGCTGTAAAACAATAACTGTAATACAAATGCAAGTTATTATTTATAAAGATCTTCCAATTCCCCCAAAAGAATATAACATATATATTCAAGGAAATTGTTACTAGGACCAGTAATTTTTTTTCAAGAACACTCTAATAGGCAGTTTTCTTTGTTTCACTGTGTGTTCATAAATAACTCTTCGTATGTGCTAGAGGAATAGAAAGAAATGTGAAAGCTGTTAACAGTGAGGAAAATAAATAGAAATAAGTCAAGTGTAAGATTATTCAGTCGAGTATGTTTAGTTAATGTATAAACGATGATGAGTGACATTAAGTTACATGGCTATTCTGGGAATGTTCACTTAATATCATCTGAGTAAAGTAATTGGAAAAAGCAAACATTCATCTGTTTTATTAATATATGTAATTTAAAAGTCTCCAGGCCTCCTCAAACTATGGGTTCCACTGAGATCACACTGACATGCATTCATAGATTTGGCTGGCAGACATGATAACAGGCCCTCTGTATAACTACAGGCAATATGCAAAGACTTCAATTAGTCTAAGAGTCCCTGGGGTATTTTACATCTGTTCATGATTATTTCCAGTTTTTGTTGATGTCCACCACCCACACACCTCACAAAAATGTACCTTCTTAGAGAATGTCTTTAGCATCTCAAAAACCATTTTTTGCAGGGTTGCAAAATTACATAACCTCTGAAAAGCCTATAGATCCTACCTAAATGGAAATCCTACAGTGTCAGATTCCAGAATGGCGGGGGCGGGGGGGCTGGCCCCTTTCCTTGGTTCTTGCAGCTGGATCCTGGGGATGGGCA